TTTAGCACATTAAATTCTTCAATTGAGGACTTCCGAAATGAGTGACCACTATCAGATCTGGATCAAAATTCTATGTCATCAAGATTATACTCAATGACAATGGCTTCCAAAATCATGATAAAAGACTGAAAACCATTATTATACGATCTGTTCATGACAAAATTACGGTAGTTTGCACATTTTTAGGCCCAGTTCAAAGTTTTGAAGGTCTGAGTCGGGGATTAGGAGACTTTGACTTTGGGAATTTAACATGCTAAAGTATAAGATCACCGCTGTGGCGAGATGACCGTGTGATGAAATGACCGTTTACCGAAGTAAAGACGTCACTGTGTGTGTAACTATTTCAGTAAGTTGATCATGATCCCAATTCCAACCCTGTGCCCCCAAGAAAAACAATTCAAAGACAAACCTGGCACATAGCTGTCTCGATGATCCGATTCGGTGGAATTTGTTTCAGTGTCTCCAGAGACTTTGCCAACTTTTTTCACCCTTGCTCCTCTTGGTCGTGGAACAACATGGGGTTTATTTGAACTTCTTTGATCGAGGAGAGACTGTGCATCAGACACGATGTCCTCTATATCGTCGATACCATTGGCACACTGGTCAATTTTCAGAGACGACGGCATGTTTCATAAATACTGCAACAGGACTCAATGACAGACTTAGTATTACCCTATGTTTACATCACTATTCTCTCAGACATTGCCTGCTGTCAGAGTAGTAACGTGCTTGTTGTTTACATCTCTTATGGAAACTTTCTACTGCAAACGGAAGTACACTAATTTTAATTTTTTTATGCTAACGAGTTCTTTTTCGGTGTCTTGGTGGTTCCTGGTAGTCGAAGAATTTACAAAAGATTAAGAATGACATTGTGTAGATTCAGATTGAATCAGAAACGTCAGAAAACATCTCGTAAATATGGCATTATGTTAGCGGGCGTGGTATATAGTGTTGGTGGTGATGGCGATGATATTATATTATCCTTTGTAAAGAAAGACCACAGTTCGCACTGGGTCACCACGGTCGCCATCCATTTGTTGTAAGTTCCTTGGCCAGATTGTAGAAACAGAGGAAGGCCAAGGTCGAATCGCTTGTCTGCTTCACACCCGGTACATCTAGTGATTGTGCACTTACATTGGAGTTTGAGTCCGAAGAGCCACGGCCTTAATTTTTATTCAAAAACTTTTTTTTAAAAAGCTTCAGGCTGATATAGATATTAAATCTAATATCCTCCAAAAAACTACTTGAGTAAAATTACCGGTTCGGTCAAAATTAGGACGAAAACAGGCACATTGACTTTAAAGCTTTATATCTCCTATCTGCCTTGCCCTA